GGAGCTGGACCGCGACACCCGTCTCCCAGGAAGGCGCTTCTCTGCCAGCAAAGACAAGCGTCCCTCCAGTCCTGAGCCGAAGGACCAACCTTTCCCAACCCGATGACGGCGTTCATCAGGATTTTTAGTGGAGAAAATAAAAGCATTTCAAGGAAACACTCACGGAAGAGACCCGAAGCTCTGAGTCACCCTAGTCCCTCCCCGGGTGTCTTTCTGTCCCCAAAGGCGCATATCCCAGACTAGCTGGGCTTGGAGGTGGAGGTGAAGGCAGAAGCGCTGGGGGTTCAAGGTGTTTTTCAGGCGCCCTCCCCTTCCTCAGGCCCTGCAGGTGTAGACAGTCCCGCAGCCCGCATAGAACGAAGACTTGGAGCACCGGGACCCGCAGGGTGGCGCACAGCTCTGGCTCTGAGGGAGGCAGTAGGATGAGGCGGGTGGGGGTGCTTGTGGAGTGGAGTGGGCTCTGAGACGCTGCCCGAAAGTGTTTCGCCTTAGGAGTTACTGGGAGCTGGGCCTGGAAGAGTAAAGGAGGGAATCAGGGAGAAAGGACAAGAGAGAGAGAGAGAGAGAGAAAGAGAGAGAGAGAGAGAGACAGACATAAACGCAAATTCGATAGGCAAGAAAGGGAAGACAAAAGGACAAACAGAGGACAATGGAGAGGAGAGAGACAAAGAAACCCAAAGAGACACAGAGGGCAAGAGTCAGAACTGGGGAGAGAAAGAGGAGGAGATGACAGAACAAGAAAAGGCTGAGGGCAATGAAAAGCAATAAAGGACGAACTAAACTGAGAAACATCATAAAACTGTAAAGAAAAGGAGAAAGATATAGCCAGAGACTCAGAGTAACATACAGAGGAGAAAATACGGAACATCGTAGAGAAAGAAACAGAGAGCCGGAAAATAAGTTTTTAGAAGACTGAAAGCGAGAATGATAAAAGGGGGGATGAAATAAGAGGAAATGTTCACAGACTTTGTGTGTTCGTCGTGGTTGGTAGGGGTCACACGCTCCCAATCCCGCCAACCTGAAACTTCCAACTCTTGAGCCACGGTGGAGCTGGGTGGACCCGGCCACGCGGCGACCAAACCAGGGCTTAGAGTTCTGAGTTCCAGGAGCCCCGCCCACTTCAGCACAGTGACGCTGCGGGGGCTGTGGTGACGTCACATAACGTCATGCTCCACCTGGGGTCCCACGCAAACCCGACAAGGAGCGGGGCCCCCGGGGTTGTGCGCTGCATTTGCTCCCCAGACGTTTGGACACCGAGGGCTTCCACCCGCTCTACGCGCAAAGCCTGCCCACAGCGCGCCCAGACCCGCCAGAGCCAGGTCCTCTCCGAGGCTCAGGGGAAAGAGGGAGGAAAGCGGGTTGCAGGGTGAAGCGGGGTTCCGAGTTCCGGCTTGAGTTCCAAGAAGTTCGAGGCCACCCTGCCTCCCAACCCCAGGTGGATTTGACCTAGCGGGGCCTAGGTGGGCCCTGGCGCAGCCCTTAACTCCCCAGCCCGCCCCGGCGCTGGCCAGCGGCCTTCGGGCTTGGAGCACCTTTCCCACGCCCAGTCCCCATCCCGCGGGCACCCAGGCTGCGGGCGGCCGGCACCAACTGACCTGCACCGCGCATCCTCCGCCGGGCCCCTGGCCGGGGTTGCAGCCGAGGTGAATGCAGACGAACCTTGCAGAAGTGGACGCGCCCTGCACACCGCCGCTCGGCTTCTACCGCCGTAGGGGTGGGGCGCAGGGCCAGGGGTCGCCGAGCATTATTGGAACCAAAACGAAATAAAAGCGGCGTTAAGTGAAATAGCTAACTTTTTTTTATTAAATAAAACGACTTAAATAAAAGGAACCGAAAAGAAGAAGAGTGGACCCAGCCTAAACGCAGGGTGCCCCGAGCCCCTGGCACTTCCCCCAGCTGCCTGGTCGGCTGCCCCTCCTCCAGCGGCCCCCGTAGGGGAAGCAGGTGGCCAGTTTCTAAAGAAAAAAGCCAAAACTTTTTATTATTTACACGTTTGGGCAAAAGTACAAAGTATAATACAGGCGCCCGGCCCGGGGGGGGTGCGGGCGGGGTCGGAGAAACGTAAGGCGCTTTCTTTGTCAGGCCCGGGCCTGGGGCGGGACGGGGCGCTGGGCTGGGGCTCGGATTGTGCGGCCGCGCGGAGCCCGGGCCCGACCCCCCTCCGCGGCCGGCCAGTCAGCGGCCGCGCCCTGGGGCCTACTCGAGCTGGGCGGCCCCTTCCCCTCTCAGCCCCGGTTCCCCTGCAGCCCGGCTGGGAGGGGGTCCGGGGCGCCCCGCTGGGTGGGGGCGGCGTTCCTTGGCGACTGTGCGCGCTGGTGGGCTCACACCAGCGAAGTGACGGCGGAGACCTTGGAACTATCCTCCTCCCAGGGCTGCAGATTCTGCAGAGCAAAGAGAGACGAGTTGTGCAGACAGAGCGGGTCGGGCTGGATGGAGTCGTTGAGGCTCTTTTGGAAGGCGTCGTGTTGCAGCTGCAGCATGAGCCGGCTCGCCTGCTGGCGCTCCGCCTCCCGCTCCTCCGCCGTCTGCCGCCTGCACCGGGGGAGGGAGAAGGACAGCATCGTCAAGCACCCGGCACCACGGGGCCGCCGGCGGGGCCCCGGCCCTCCTGGGAGCGGAGGCCTTCCGGGAGCCTCGAGGCGCAGAGCGCGTCTGCCTCCCAGCCCGCGCTTTACGCCCGAGGCCCTCATATCCAAGGGAGCGGGTTGGGATCATTTGTTTTTGTTGTAAGCCAGAGGGTCTCCAGGAGGGGACTCTGCTCGCTGCCCACCTGCACGCCTGGATATTGCGGCTTCACCAACAATAAAGATTGTTCCTTTCGCGGGATAGCAAGGGCAGGGCCTAGGTGTAACTGACTTGGCCCTGCGAGCACTGGGGTTGCTGGGGTCTGTGGGTGGGCAGGCTGGCTCTGCACCGCCTGCACGACGCCCGGGGTCAGTTTCATCCAGTTTACCCAAGGCCGGTCTTGAACCCCTTTCCAGACTCGATCGCTTCGCCATTTACGGGTAGAATGAAAATAGATTGGATAAAAACGCGGCTGGAGTGGAGACGCGGAGCTAGAGGGGGAACCGGCGTCCACGAGGGATTGTTGAAAATCAGAGAGGGCGGGCTGGAAGGAGGAGAAGGAGAGTGCGAGAGGCCCTTGTGTGTGTGTGTGCGTGTACGTGTGTGTGTGTGTGTGTATTGGGGGGTGGTGAGAGGAAATCAAGCTAGCGCAGGAGACGGAACAAAACCCGGGGAAAGAGTTGGAGGGGCTCACGAAAGATGGGGATGGGCTTGGAGGAGAAACCGAGGCGTGGAAGACCAAGACGGAGAGAGAAGCACAGGCCAGCGAAAAGGGTGAAAGGAGGAGGTACAATCTGCGAAGGCGGGGTGGGAGTGTGCTTGGGGGAGGCGTGGGAGGGCGGGGTAGGGGATAGCCTTAAAATGGGGCGAGTGAGAGGCTGCGGTTCAGGACGGGGCAGGTGTAAGGTGGGCTGGGTCAGGCCTCTCTCACCGCCACTTGGTCCTCCGGTTTTGGAACCAGGTCTTGACCTGCGCGTCCGTCATTTTGAGGGACTTGGCGAGCGCCGCCCTCTCGGCCGAGGCCAGATACTTCTGGCGATGGAAGCGCTTTTCCAGCTCGCAGATCTGCACCCGGGAAAAGGACGTGCGCGGCTTCTTACGCTTGGGCGGCGTCCGGTTCTGGTAGGGGTGGCCGATGCGCCGGGTCACGGTGAAGGGCGTGAGTGCGGCCGCCGCTGCGGAGACACACGAGGGCCCCTGAAGCCCAGCCCGACTTGGCCACCGTTCGGGCCCCATGCGGACCCCGTGGCGCCCGTGGGACATGGAGAGCTCCGCTATTTCGCTGGTCGCGCGCGTTTCCAGCGACACCAAGCCAGTCGGGAGACGCCCTCGCCCCATGTCCCTTCCCCTGGGCACAGGCTTATTTTCCTGCAATTCTCCTATTACCCTCCCCACTACGGCTGCCCGGGGCCCGGGGGTCGAGGCCTCTGCCGCGCTTGGGCCTCTGAAATGGTTTCCCGGAGTGGAGCGCACAGGGCGCGGCGCCTCTGGCCCCGAGAGGGCGGAGGCCTGGAGCCTGGTCGCCAGCTCTGCTCACCTGTGAAACGGTCTTTCACGAAGCGGCGGCTGCTCTCCATCCAGGGGAAATTGAGGCCTCCCAGGCTGGAGACCGCGGGCACGGAGGGCATGGCGGGTAGCGCGCTTGGCAAAGGCGGCGGCACGGCCCCGGGCAGCGGCCTGTGCGCCGGCACCCGGATCACGCCGGCGGGCGCTAGGCTCAGGTTGACACTGTAAGATCCCGCGTCCTCGAAGGGCGCGCCGAGGCCCGCAAAGGAGGCGGGCAGAGACGGGTATGTGGCGCCGGGACGGCCCCCGGGGGGGCCTCCTAGGTAGCTGGCGCCGTCGGGGCCCCGCGGGGCTGATGCGCTGTCCTGGTCCGGGCTGTTAAGGATCTGGTCGATGCCGAAGCTGATGGGCTCGTGCGGGTGCGGGGTCTGAGCGCTGGCGGGCGCCTCCATCCTGGGCGGGCGGAAGGGCTGGGCTGGGCTGGGCGGGGAGGCGGCTGGGTCCCCGTTACGGCGCGGCCATGGAGCGCCCGGCGCCTCTCGTCGCACTGAAACTTTGCCAAGAGTGCGCGGGCCCGACAGGCTCTGTGTCATCTTTCTTGAACCGAACCTGGAGTTTCCGCTGCTAATTCCTCTCCCGCCGCAGCCATTGGCTGCGATCAACAAGCCTCTCTCCTCTCATTGGCTCCCGGCTTTCAATAAAGGCCTAATTCATGGAAATAGGAGCTTAGGGACTGTTCCAAGGTGACATCATTTTAACAAACGAACAATAGGTCAAATTTATTAGCCAGGATAATGGGCGGCGGATATTAGCGCCCGAACCGCAGCCTCCCAAACCCGAAATCTAACGAAGCTACAATTAGCAGACGCTCCCCGCTCCTCCCGGCCGGGGCCGCTTCCCAGACATCGCGCTGGCCTGGTAGAGCGCTCCGCTGGTGAAATTGTCTTTTGCTGAGGGAGTTTTCGTTTTCTTCCAATTTTCTTCATCTGAGCAAAAGCCAAACCAAATGAATCCTTTCAGTTACAATGGAGTTGCGATCCTGGAACGACCCGGCGGAATCCGCAGAAACCCCTTGGACACTACAGCCGCGGAAGCAACGAAAGGGGCGCACTCCTGGGGGCAGGCTTCGCGTAGCCTGCGCGCGGGGAGAGGGGAGCACCATAGCGTTCTCTGCGCTCCGGAGGACGCCGACCCGCGTGGGGAGAATTCGCCCCCGCCCGGGTTTCGGCCGCGGCGTCGCGGCCACTTTGGAGACACTCCCTGGCTCTGGCCAGGCGGACCGAGGCGTGACTCGCAGGTGCCCACGCGTGCCAGCTGCGGCTGGGCTAGGGACGCGGGGTCGCCCGGTGGGGAGCGGGGACCTGGCTCTCGAAATTCGTTGCAGGATGGAGGGGGCTGTGGTCGCGCGTGGGAACCCGCTTGCGGCTCGGAGGGTCTAGGGACTTCGGGTTCCTGAATGTCAAGGGAGGGGGGCAGCTCCTAGTTAGAGCAAACAGCGGGATTTCTTTGGGAAACGCGAGTGGTGAGCCCCTCCCTGCTCTAGTCCACTCTGGGCGCTGGAACCACTCCCCGTTCTGCTCGCGTCTCAGTGACTTTCTATCCAGGCCCAGGGCGCCGTGGACAGGACCGCACACGGAGTAGTCACCTTCCGCTCCAGCCCTGGGGAGACAAGCAGAATCATTTTCTTTCAGCTAATGCTAAAATCGTTAGGTGCAAACTCTTTGAATGTCGCACCCCTGCCCTGGGCTCTTCCTCCCGCTGCTTGTGGTGCGGACAGTGGTGAGAGCTCGGATGTGCTGTTGGCGAGAAGTGTGTTCAAATTTGGACTGGCCACTTCCTAGCTGAGTGACCTTGAGCAAGTGATTCCATATCTTTAGGGTTCGGTTTTCTTGTTTGCGAAAAGGGAAAGGCGTGCTTGCTGGATGTTCGTGAGCCGCGAGTGAGATGTTGAGGGAGCGCAGAGCATTGGCCCTGGCACGTAGTAGGCACTAGACAGCGTGGCTCACCTCCCACTCCATCCCCCCAGAGTAGTGGCTGATGTATTGCTCTTATGACTCTTGTTTATTTTGTTTGCAGTTTTCTTTGCATGGGCTCAGTTGGAGAGAAGGGTGTATTTGCCTACCAGTAGGGTCATTTTCAGAGGACCGGGAAGGGCAGGAAATGCAGGTTGGGGATTCTTTCTCTCTTCTCCCAACAGGCCTCCAGGTCTGGGTCTGGAGTTAGGTCGCTTGCCCGCTGTGTGACCTTGGGCAAGTTCCTGGCCCTTGCTGAACCGTTGTGGCGGGTGTGGAGAGGAGGCCAACAGGAAGGGTGAAAGCTGCAGGATGCCTGGGGTCTGGGCAAGCGCTGCCTTACTCCCTTCCTGTGACAAGGACCCTCAGATAGGGTAGATGCCATTGCCCTGGCCGCGGGGGGGGGGGGGGGGGCTCCTGTTTCTAATTCAGGCCCTGCCACTGGCAGTGTGGGTGCTGTTGGGTCCCTAACCACCCCTCCCAGGACCTCATTTTCCTTATTTGTAAAACAAAAAGGGCACCAGCTACCCCCAGGGTGGCTGTGAGAACGAAATGAGATAACATCGTGGAAGTGCCTCTGAGTAACTCTGGAGGTTATATAATCATAACTTTAATGACAACAGTAAAGCTACTGTAGCTGAGAACCTGTGCCAGGCAAGGAGCTGGACACTTATTTATTCTTCACAACGACGCTGTGAGGAAAGGGCTGTTAGTGACTCCAATTTCTAACTGATGAGGGAATTGAGGCGTTGAGGGTTCAAGGAAAGCACAGCTCCCCACTTGGGGGCTGGAGTTGGCACCTCACCAGCTCCACTTCCCTTCTGGCTTCCAGAGTCCTGGACTCAGGGCTGCCCTTGTCACTTCAGACACCGTTAAATCAGGACAACAAGGCCCGCCACACAGAGGTTTGTGGTGCAGAATGAAGGTGTGGGTGGCACAGGGCTACTCTCAGAGCATGTGCTTGAGAATAGGCTGTGACTCAGGGAATTATTCAGCCTCTTTGTGCCTCAGTTTCTTCATTTAGTAAATAAACCTCATGGGATTAAATGAGCCCCTCCAGGTAAAGCCTGGCATGGGTCAGAGCTCTGCCTCACTGCTGGGTTCTGGCTTTCTGACCTCCATGGTTCCTCATCATCCAGCCCTGTCACCCAGATGAAGGAGCTTTGGGCCACCAATCATAAGCCTCCTTTCATGTCCTATCCAGATAGAGAGCTGCTAGGCAGCTCAGTAGCTGGGGTAAATTGGGTCAGATATTAGTCCCTAGGACAGTGGTTCTCAAAGTGTGTTCCCAGAGTAGCAGCAACAGCATCACTGGAGAATTTGTTAAAAATGCAAATTCCTGGACCCTCGCCAGATCTATGGAATCAGAAACTCTGGGGTAGGATTCGGCAATCTGTGTTTAACAAGCCCTCCAGGTGATTCTAATGCCTGCTCAACTCTGGAAGCCAGTGCCCAGAATATTGTCCATTTCATCCAAGTTTTAAAATTTATTGTTGTAACGCTGTGGGAAGATTCTCTCAGAATTTGAAGCTCTCATATGAATCTGTATTAATACCTTCCGCTTCTCATTCCCAGTGTTGTTCATTCCTGCCTTCTCCTGATCATACCTGCCAAAGGTTTGTTATTTTGTTGGCTTTTTAAAAAAGCCTATGATTTCATTGTCCCCTCTTAAAATGCCACCTCTTTCATGAATGTTGTGGTTTTAAAAATTACTTAATTTCTTCTTTGTTCAGTTGAAAATTTAATTAGTCAACTTTTCTTTCCTTTTAAATAAATGCATTCAAGGGCATACATTTTCCTCTCAGCACTGTTTTGGCCAGGTATGTTCTGATAGTTGGTGTTCCTGAGGTTGTAATTTCTTGCTGCCCTTGTAATTTACCTGCTGTCACTTGAACAGTGAGGCACACACACTGAAAGAGATTAGGAAATGGCAATTGTAAGAACTGGGGATGAGGATTCCTGGGGCTAAAGAGACTTTCAGAATGCAGCACATCCTCTCCTCTTCCCCAAGAAGAAGCTGGAAGAAAAGTGTACATCTGGTGGAGGCTTTGCCAAGAGTCATCTAGAAGAGGGTGGGGCTTCAAGGATGACAGACAAGATGCTGGGACTTCCAGCTGGCCCATGAGCCCAGATGTGGGAGGCCAGGTTCTTCCAGGCTCATTCTGCCACTGATTTCCTGAGTGAAATGAGACTCCATTTCTCTGTTTGTGAAATGGGGTAGAGATTGAATCAGGACTTTAAATGTATTTGGGTCAGCTATCCTATTTGCAACACGGATGGAAATATTGTGGTCTGCTTCCATAGGAAAAGACAAAAACACATAATTTGGCACACATATCACGTCACAGGTTGCTGACCTGCCGTGCTGTTCTTGGTTCACACACCCTAGTTAGGAGTCCCTAGGAGCCCTTCCAGTTCTTCTGATGGAAGGCTCTAAAGACATCTGCCCAAATTTATTTGCCCATTCATTTATTTATTCAACGAATATTTACTGGACACCTACTCACATTTCCTGGACCATACCCCAGCTCAGGGGCTTGGTTTCCCCATCTACAAAGCAGTCTGAGCTCTTCGTCACTGCTTGCCCCAGTGGGCAGGACTTGGGGAGGAACCTTCCTGAGGAGGTCTGATCAGTCTCAAGACTGCCAGCCAGTGGAAGGAAAAGGCCTTCAGGTGTCGGCTGTTGCTTGGGACCCCCAATTGCAGGTCATGAGGCTTCAAGGACAGCTGGCTTAGGGAAATGGTCTTTAGTCCAACGGCACGTAGTGGAAAGGGATGAAGCTGGGATTTGAACCAGGACTGTTTAGACTACGAAGCCCACTTTTTCTCCTTTACCTCACACCCCTATTTGGAGCAGGTGGTAAAGATTCTAAGTCACAGGACTGAGCAGGGAGGGGAATCAGTGCAGGGTCTGGGTGGAATGAGCCCAAGAGTGGGGGTGAGGGCTGGCCATAGCGGGGCTCGCTTTTCTCCCCTACTGGCCTGGGAGTTCCTTTTGGGCAAAATGGTGTTGGTGGCATTTGATCCCACGTCCCAGGGCTGGGCCCAGGGCGTGGAGGACTGGAAGACATTATCAAGTTTGTGGTATTAAACTCAATGGCACAAAGCAAGATCAGACAAAGGGATAAGAAAAAGGGGTCAGAATCGAGCGCAGGCATTTGCGTGCACTCAGCTCGGCATTCACCTCCCCCAGCCCCGCCCATGACTGGTTCCTTTAGTCCTTTACAACCCAGGCCAGCCCTCACCTCTCTGTCCATCCTCCAGAGCAGCACACTCACCCCGTCATCACCCTTGGAACTCATCTTATTTATCCTGTTCACTAGCTTTATCTGTGCCAGGTGAATGAATGATTGAAGAAATGATTTCCAGGGTGCTTGGGCTGTGTCAGACCCAGGTCCTGGCAGGGAGGCTGGCAGCAGCCTGAGGAAGCTGGCCCTAGGGCTGGGGGTTAGAGGAGAGGGGAGTGGTGAGAGGTTCCTTTCTCCATGGGGTAGGGGGTTGGTGGAGGTTATAAAGGGTATGTGAACAGGGATTGTGTAGATGGCAGCGTGTGTAGAGTGGCAAGAATCGGTCAGTGCGTGCAGGCTTGGGAGAGCAAGGGCAGGCAGGGTGGGCAACCGCATGGGGTGGGCTTCTCAGGGACCTCCAAACCTGATCTCGTGCCCTTGTTTCCTTCCCCTACACATGAGCCATTTTTCCCATTTGTGCGCTGCAACTTTCCTTTCTTCCTGACAGATTTCTCTACTAAATTTGACTTCGTTTCAACACTTTTGTTGGGCAAATTACATTAAGATGAATGTTGCAGGTACCCTTTATGGTTTATTTATCGTGATACTGTTTGTATCTCACGCTTATAAATAACTTATGTTATAGCTTTTGTTTGTGGAAATGTAACTTACATATTTTATTACGCTTTCTGTAAACCTCAAAAAGAATCTTGTCAAGGAAGCGCTCTTATCAGCAATCCAAACTATAGGGCGTAAAAACCGACACTAACATTATTTTTTAATATGCCAAGGAGGCAGGTTACTCTTGCTGTAGTTTGAAAGGTTTGCTGTCATTGTAAACTTGCACCTCAATAAAACATTTAAAAGTCTCAAGAATAATTTTAGAAAGTTCAGGGAGGAGGATGAATCGGTGGCAGAACCCACAGACCCAGCACACAAGGCCCAGGTCCTGGACTGGCCTTTCCCTGGGAGTGCCTAGTCCCACTGGGGGTGTCAAACTGTTCCACATCGAGCTGTCCCACCCAACTGTCCTCTAGAGAAAGCTGTGAAGGACCTTGTTCAAGGGATTATAGTGGAAAAGAAATAGGAGTTTTGAGGTCAGGCAGATCTGACTTTGAATCCTGGCTTGTCCACTTTCTAGCTATGTGGCTTTGGGGGGCAGTCTTTTAGTCTCAGTTTTCTCATCTCTAAAATGGGGATAATAATTCTTGACATTCTTACTGGGAAGCATAAAATGAAATAGCAATTTGCAATGCCTAGTGGGTGCTCAATAAATGAAAGCAGTTCTAATTACTTTATGCTCATCTTGAAACTTTTAAGAAGACCAGGAGTGGTGGCTCATGTCCCTGCACTTTGAGAGGCTGTGGTGGGTGAACTGCTTGAGCCCAGAAGTTCAAAACCAGCCTGGCCAACATGGCAAAACCCTGTCTTTATAAAAAATACAAAAATTAGCCAGGTAGAGTGACGTGGGCCTGTAATCTCAGCTACTCAGGAGGCTGAGATGGGAGGATTGTTTGAGCCCAGGAGTTCGAGGCTGCAGTGAACCATGAGTGTGCCACTGCACTGCCTCCTGGGCAAGGTCAGGAGTTCAAGACGAGCCTGGCCATCATGGTGAAACCCCATCTTTGAAAAAAAAAAAAAAAACAAAAAAAACCTGGGCTGGCCTCAGTGGTTCACACCTATAATCCCAGCATTTTGGGAGGCTGAGGTGGGTGGATGATGGGGTCAGGAGATCAAGGCCATTCTGGCTAAGACGGTGAAACCCCGTCTCCACTACAAATACAAAAAATTAGCCGGGCGTGATGGCATGTGTCTGTGGTCCCAGCTACTCAGGAGGCTGAGGCAGGAGAATCACTTGAACCTGGGAGATGGAGGTTGCAGTGAGCTGAGATCGCGCCACTGCACTCCAGCCTGGGCAACAGAGTGGAGTCTCAAAAAAAAAAAAAAAGTTTGCTTTCTCTTTTTACTCAACGCTGCTTTTCTCTGCAGGCACTCCTTTCCCTCCTCATCATAAGGAGCTGAGTTCTCTTAAATGATACTTCCCCAAAACTGCTGAACATCTCTATCAGGTTTCCCGTATGCCAGATCTTTCTGCGTCTCCAATTTTTCTCACCAAATCCACCCCGTTTTTGGTTCTCATGTGCAGCTGTTGACAGTTAGCTAATCTGGTCGTCAATCTCAGCTAACAGCTACAGGGCAAGCCACTTTTGCATTTTGAAAGGGGCCCCCACTACCTTAATCTGAAGGTACTTCTAGGTTGTCACGACCAAGGAAGGGAGTCCAGGAGGCCAAGAGGGCTTTTAGTTTAGATAATCAAACACAGTGCAGGGACTCTACACTCCTTTGTCCCCCATCCTAGAGAAGCCTGATTGGAAAGCACAGAGTAACAGAAACATCTGGGACACAGGCAGAATACAGCTTTCTCAGGAGCCAGGTTCTGAAGTCAGTATGGATGGCAAAAATTGAGCAAAGTCAGAATCCCTTCAAACTGTTTCTTGCTTGAGCATCCCTGAAGCAGCTGGCTTGACTTAGCGCTCACACTGCATGAGCAGTCCCTCTGTCTGTACACTAGAATCCCATCAGAAGGGTGAGGTGTGCAAACAGCAGCCACACCTCCCATCTCATCCTCTCTGAGCACATTTGTGAAGTGGTTGGCCCCTTGGAACTGCCAGCACTATCTTCTCCTGTTGCTCAGTCTAAGTTGGATACACGTGTGATCTGATTGGACCAGCAGCTCCATTAGCTGTCTTTCATATAGCCTCCACAGCTTTGTGTGTGTCTTTGCCTGCTTTATCCTTGGGACAGGATGTTCCTATAAGGCCCACTCGCACATGGAACTCCAGGTCTCTTCTCAAAAAATCCCCATGTCCCTCACCAAGGCAGACCCTGGCAGTTTTGGAGGCGGAGTCCCCCAAATCTTGTTCTCATCTACTGTGGGATGAGTGTGCATTATGTGTGATCCTTAAATATCCCAGCTTCCCCACTTCCTTTTCCTCCCTCAGGAAGGGCTCAGAATGGAACCTGGCCCTCTAAAGGAAAAAGAAAGATCCCTTTGCAGGTTTTTTTTTTTTTTTTTTTTTTTTTGAGACGGAGTTTCGCTCTTGTTGCCCAGGCTGGAGTGCAATGGCGCGATCTCGGCTCACTGCAACCTCCGCCTCCTGGGTTCAGGCAATTCTCCTGCCTCAGCCTCCTGAGTAGCTGGGATTACAGGCACGCGCCACCATGCCCAGCTAATTTTTTGTAGTTTAGTAGAGATGGGGTTTCACCATGTTGACCAGGATGGTCTCGATCTCTTGACCTCGTGATCCACCTGCCTCGGCCTCTTCCAAAGTGCTGGGATTACAGGCTTGAGCCACCGTGCCCGGCTCCTTTGCAGGTTTTAAGAAACAAATTTATAGCTAAAACTCAACCTCTCTTGCAAAGGCCAGACAAGAGTTGTGGCAGACAGCTTTGAAAATGGCTCCCAATAATCCCCACTTTAGTGATTTACTTCTAATGAACAGAATAGCGCAAAAGTGATGGGATGGCCCTTCTGAGATCAGGTGATAAAAGATG